TAAGCTTTTAAAAAAATTTGGTTTCATTAAGTTCACTCTATGATGAAAATTCAAATTTTAAGCTTCGATTTTTATTATAACTTTATTTCAAATTATTACAATTATAAAATGCTCTTATTACGGTATTTACGATTTGGTTTTTTAAATAAATTAATTTTTAAGACATTTTATTGCTTAAAAACAATAAGCCTGTGTAACAAAATTTTAAACTTGATTTGTTTTCGTGATTTAAGAAATAGAAGAATCTAGAAGCACAAAATATTCCATTAAAATTCTAAGGAATTTTTAAAATATTTTTAAAACTTTTAAGGAACATACAATAAATTTGTGAAATACGAGTGGTTTTTTAAATTTAAATTATCTAATTTAAATATAACATATTTTGCATACTTCTTGGGGCTGAATAAGGTGTTACAAAATTATAACAGGAAAAAATGTTAAACATGATTTTTATTTTCAACTTCAACATAATTCAACCAACAATTTCAACATAATTCAACATAAAACGACTACACAATTTCAAATATTCTAACAAAAACTGTTAAAATAAATTAAGAGTAAATCTCTAAATTTATTTTTTATTTCTAATAAATAAAAATAAATAAATAAATATACAAATATGTATGTCATTACTTATCATAGAAAATAATTTGGAAGTACAAAACATACAAAAACCATACAATTGGCCAATGATAATTTAAAATTTTTAATATTAAAACAATATTAAATGTTAAATAAGTCTGACAGACCGATTAAAATCTATACATGTGATGTTGCAGTAATTTTGTATAATTATTTGTTTTTTTTATTAATTGTTTCCTGGGTGACAAATAAAAAGTAAAAATTTATAATTTTTCACAATGAATATATGTATTTATGTGTATTTATTCATCTATATCTCAACTACACCAACGCATACACACATGCATTATATAAAGAGTTACTTATATACAATAGTTACGTTAATTTTTAAAACAGTAGCATTTTTGCTACTTCATAATGAATTAAACAGTAAATTGTACACATATTTTCACAGATGTATAAACTTTAAAATTTACGAACATTATATTGAATCATGCACATACACTCATACATACATACCTATATTTATAATATATAACAATATAAGTTTTGAAGCTTTTTGTTAAGCTTACCTACCGTTATTATTATTTATGTTATCAAAGCAGATCTGACAGCAGATTATTTGATTAACTGAGAAAATTTTTTATGTGTGTGATTAGTGAGAAGTTGTAAATACGTCATAAAATACATAAAAAAAAATAATAACCAAAAAAAAACAAGTAAATTATAACAGAAAATAAAATAAAAATTAATATTTTATTAAATTACTATTTTAAATCAAGAAAAAATAAAAATTTTTAATTTCAAATAAAAAATTAAGAAGAAAATTTTTGTGGTCAGTAGAGGGCAATGCTCAACGCTGCGTTACTAAAATAAACAAAAGTTTGCAAAAATTCTGTTATTGTTTTTTGATTTTCATCAAAGCAGCTTTAATTTGTAGAGTGTTTTCTAACGCAGGTATATATCATATATATATATTTAAGAATGTATGTATATAATTTAGAATGTTCATTCAAAGAAATGTCAAAACAAGTATAAATAAAACAAGTTTTGATACTAAAAGTTTTATTCACAATTATTTATTTATTTTTATATTAAAAATATGCCATATATCAGAAGGTATGTATGTATGTCATCTTGCATAAAAACAAATTTTTTATCATTCCTTAAACAGTTTTTGGTCTGCAAAACTATGAAATTCTATTAAAACTGATGATGACTAATATGATTTAGAAAATAAGAACAAGTTATTGAATCCATCTTATGTGTTTTATTAATTTTTTCCAGTTTTATCTAAATATGTAGATCATCACATATACAGACGAACACATTCTTATCTACATCTAATACGCAAGCAAAACATAAAAATGTAGGATAGGTTTAAATATTTGAAATTATACTCTGTGTGTGATCTCTGATGAATTTTTGCGTCAAAACGATGCACGAAAAATTTTTAATTTGACGCATAAAGCTTTTACCAAATTTGTTTTTCTAAAATTTTTAATCAATATTTACGTATGTATATAAAATAAATTATTTTTTTCAAAAAGTTTGTCAACAATTCTGAATATGACGTATATTTATATCCAAGCTTTATGTTGTATTTGCTAAAAGTGAATTTTGTTCTTTGGTTTTGAAATGCTATTTTCTTATCAAAGAAGTCGTTGTATATTAAATATATAAAAGTTGTACATATAGTTATATCTTAATTGATTAACATAATGTTAGTATTAGAATACACAATTATCCAGGTTGCAAAAAAACTATACTGCTGATTTTATTGCATATAATGATGTAGGTACATTCTAAATGTTTATAATTATACGAATTGTGTTTTAAATTTATATTATATGCATGCCACTAAACTAACAATTGGTTTGCTGATAATAATTGGCATTCCGCACTGTCGAGTTTTGAGTCGCTGTACCCATACTTGGTCATATTGCCGTTTATGCCTGCCCATCAGTCCTAAAAATAACTGAACAACTAATTCATCTAAACGCGTCAGAAACACAAAATTTTATTAAAGCATTTATATTATAAAAAAAGCGGTTCAACTTTAGCTAACATCCATGAAATATTCAAGCAGTTAGATTTGCTACGAACTGTATAACAAAACTATAACTAACATTTAAAAATTATTCGATTTATCGAATGCAGGTGTCTGTTATAATACAACACTTAAATAATGCAAAGAGTATCAAAGATTCAACACGATTATCTCTGCCTATTTTAATTTTTACATATATGTATGTAAAAAACAATTCAATTGTAACTACGAAATAAATTGGGAACAAATTACCAGAATTTTTATTTAAATAAAAAAAACTTTATTTACCCGAAGAGCATAATTGCGTGCAAATCTTTGAAATAACAAAAGTTACTACAAAAGTACACAATATATTTGAAACTACAATATATACATAAGTTCATTTCCGTTATTTGTATCAACAATAGTTAATTTGAAAAATTAAAATTTTTTGACAGAGAAATGGAAAAATTTCTTATTAAAATTGAAACAAGATCTAACCCATAATTTCTAGTAACAATTTAGGAATATCAAGAGTTTTAAGTGTGCGATAATTTAATGTTAAGTCATTAAATTAATCGCAAAAACAAATTTACTTTACCAATTTTAATAACATTATTAGTCTTCCAAAGAGTTTATCCAGCACAAACTTAATAAAACCAAAAACAAGACAATAAAATAAAAACGCGTACATAATATTGCATGCGAATATTAATTGTTTCTTTTTTTTTGTGTGATTCATATATCACTCTTCCACACTTAATTGTTTTAAACTTCACCATGAACTTAAAATACAATAAAATTTTAAAACCAAACATATTTTGCGAAAATATACAAATTTCATTAAAATTTATTTAAAGGAAATAAACTGTCCTTGAAAAATTTATTAAAAACAAAACAACGACTGTTACAAAATTAATGTACATTTCAATATTCAATAATATAACATAAAAATATTCTGATAAATCGAATATACACGAAAACAATTTGCATACATAAACACAAACATCATCATCGGAATCATAGAATCGAATTTTAATAATCGAATAACATCAATAAAATTCATTTAGAATTCCCATAACAAAAATTATTTAAAAATTATTAAAATTGCTATAGTTGTTGATCAAACGTCATTTTGAACCAATAGAAAGACCTTCAGAACGGTCACCCACAAAAATATTAGTATTTAAAATGAATATAAAAACTGTTCTCGAATTTTTTTTTTAAAATAAAAATTTTTTCTTTTCAATTATTTCCTCAATAAAATATTAAGGCTCACAACAAATTATTAGTCATTAGATTTGATAATGACATTGCAAGAAATGAAAATTCTTTATTTCTTGAGAAAATTTATGTATGTATGTATGTATTTAAACCAGATTTATCCTGATAAGTGTGACAGTTTAAAGAAGCGAGTAATAATTTCAATTATAATTCAATTTAAGTATACAATTTTTTAATCATTTGATTACAGCATATACATACATACATAATTTATTTTTTTTTTTTGCTAAACATGATTAACATGAGCATTTTCAAATTTTAATTGAAAGCAAATTGTTCCTAGAAAATTTAATTTTCATTCAAAATTTCGTATATTTTTTCAAAAAGTGTTTGACATATTCAAATATTTCAAATTAATTCTGATGATCATTAAATTTTATTTCGCAAATTAAATTGCCTATATTGATAAAATGCTATGAGTTTGAATGATATTCTTTTGCAGGAGTGTTATATGAAATATTATATAAATTAGAAACTCTTGAAATTATTAAAATATATTGTGATTGTTACATATTTAGACCTTTAAATGATTATTAAGGTTTTTGAAATTAAAAAGAGGATTAACTTTCTTTATTATGATCAATTTAACCTGTCAGTTTATGATGGCATAAGCAGGCATGAGTTATTCAAAAATTAGTTTACAATATGCTGTTGAGCCTTAATGTGCAGATGATATTTTATTATAAAAATTGATTTAATAGTCATAAAATTTTAATTCGACGCCAGTGTGTTAACATTCATATATACTAAACCAACAATCATTATTAAACATTTAAGTTCTATAAATTTTTTTAGAAAAAACTTAATCATAGTATCAGAAGAAAATTTTGATAAGTTGATAATGATGATGCAATTATGGTAATCTACTATCAGTAGACGTTAATTGTTTAATTGTCGTAAAAATAAGAACTAAAATCATACCATATAACGTCATAAGTCATAAAAACAATAGCGAAATGATTTATAAAGAAAATTAATTTTTTTTACATTTTTCACTTTCAAAATACATGATGATTTATTTTCTAATTATAAGGTTAATTATATGAGAACAAACAATGAGAAAAACAGAAAGAAAAAATGATCTATTATTTAATTTTCGTCTTACCATCTTAGTTTGAGTTTAGATTTTAAGATATTCAATCTGAAAAATTATGCAAATTGTTAAAAACCTTAAAAATATTTTCAACAAACTTACCAATTTTACAAAATTCGGAGAAAAATCTCAGTTGAGAAATTGGAAAACTCAAAAAATTTCAATACATTTTAAATATTGTTTTAAAAACAATTTATTGGAAATCAAAATTGTGTACCAAAACCCAAATCGGTGATTTATTCGGCAATGCAATCTCAATTCCCAAAATAGCACAAATTTTAAATTAAGATAATTATGCTCCCGCAAATATTAGAAACCGCAATCATAAAAATTGCATATCTAAGGCCGAAATTTTTTAAAAAGATCTCATTTCGGCAGCAAGTTGAAAGCTGAAATTAATTAAAAATCTTAAAGAGAAGCTAGGATTTTTTTTTTATGGATAATAATTTTTTTAGTTTAAGTTCAATATACATATGGAATACTGTTATTATATAAACGGTAATTAAAATGATTTTAATTTCACATATATACAGATATTATGCTCCCTATTATTTCGTATCATAACTATTAACATTAAAACACCTAAGATACAAAAGAAAAATTATCATTACAACTTACATTGAATTTCGTAGAAAGGTACATAGGAAAAAGATAAGATTTTATATTGTATATGAAAAATGGAAAATAATTATTAACAGTATTTAGTAGTATTTTACGTCAGTTATGTATACTAAAAGAGTGACACTTATTTATACATTCATATAGAAATAGAGAGTGATGACACCAAATAAAGTGTATTGCTGTATATGTACAGTAATCGAAAAAAATTTTTCTAGAAATTTTATAATAGAGAGGAACTGATAAACTATTTGATTTTTTAATGAATTCTGCCTATCGCTCCGTTGTCAGGACTAAAACTTTTAAAAGTTTTTCTTTGAAAACAGGCACATACATAAATATCTTATTTCAGTTATTGATCCTAGCTATTCTGATTTGAACATAAGAAGTTTTGTGTAGAATGACTTAATAATAAGAATCTGTTATTCATCTAGATTATTAATCATGTTTAACAATACAATTACTTTAAAAAAAATAGTTTGACTGGAATTAAAATTTCTGCAAATATCAAATCAATTACTCAACAGACAGAGAGAAAAAATTTTACTAAAATTATTATTTTAAATTATTCTTTAAATAAAATCTTCATATACTAAATGTCAGATATATATCATTCTTATTCATATAATATGCGGTCTCATACAATATACAACATACATCTTTCAAAATATTTGAACAATTTTAGAAAATTATAATTTAATTTTATACAAATATTTGTACAAATGTTTCTACAAATAAAATACAATTTTATTTATTGATGAATTATAATTAAAATAATAAAACATTTTCCAGACTATCGCATAATTAATTTAAAATCTATCGTATATGACAATATTTACTTAGTTATAGCATCATATTTGGTGTCATCATTTATGTTAATAACGTTAAACTAGTCAATTTAAATTAAATAAATTTGCATAAATTGAATTAAATCAATTTGTCAATTACATTTGATCCGGATACTATTAAATTTATGTGTGTGGTCTTTAAATTGAATAATTTAATGTAGATCAATAGAAATTTGCAAAGTAATTGAAGAATTTTTTATTCCTGAGTATTTGTTTTATAGAAATCTTAAATTTAATAGAAAATAATAGAATTTGGGGGAAAACAACTTGCTCGAACAAATTAATTTTATTATTTAATTGAACTCTATATGAAATTTTAAGCTGAAATATAAAATTTTTCCAAAGAATTGATCAAGTACGCAATCAAACAGAAAAATTTGTTTAGAAATCGTGTTCTTCTGTTACAAATTGCAAACATATTCACACATAACTAAAATATTTTTATAAAAATTATTCAATTCTGAAATCTATAATATTTTAATTAATTTTTGCACATAATAATTTTCTTTATAGTTTATTAATTAGATTTTAATATTGTCTATTAATAAGAAAATTTGTCTAGATTTCATGAATTTTGTAAATATTTATCAACATATTTAAGCGGATATAAACTTGAACAAAAAAAAACATTTTTTTCCTGTAATTATAAAAAAAATTTTATGCAAATTTTTTTGATTTTTAAAAACCCCTGTACATTATAAATTAAAAATATTATATTGATATATAATATTATGCACATACGTACGTTTGTGTGTACACTTTTATTATTAACATAGATATTTTTACGTTTTATCCAGATTCTAAATATGTAGCTTAAAATACTGGTAATAAATATTGCAATAAAATTATTATTTATATAAAAAAATCGATAAGTTTTCATATTATTTAAATTATATGAATAAATCTAGGGCAATTAGAGGAAATTAATTACCAGCAATTTATATTTTGTATATGAAAATCTATAACGTAAAATTAAATTTCTAATAAAATTTCTATACCAGTTCTATGAAATTTTCTACCGAAAATTACAATTCAATGTACAAAAGCGTTTTCAAATGTGTCATTGAGGAATTGAAATCCCTCAAATGACACAGTTTTCTTTTAAAATAAAGAGCTACTTTTTAGCTATTCATTGCGTATTAATTTTTTTAATTCGCTTAATAATTATGTCTTTAAAGGCGATACAATATTTTGTGGAAACCAAAAATTTGGTCTCGAAACTGGTATTTTGGGGGTTAATAATTCATTTATCACCGCCCTCCCTCAACAGGAACGATTTTTTTCATAAAATTTTTCCACCTTTCTGCGAGATTATTCCACGTTACATCGTTCACCTTGTACAATCTTGAAAGCTTGAAATTCACAAGTCTATTAGAAAAAAATATGCAATTTTTAACAATAATTGCCCGAGACACATACAAATTATCAAAAAAATATCAATAAAACAAAAATTGAAAAATCCAATCAATATATATGTATATATATATATATATATATATATATTATAAAACTATTAATACAAATTAAATAGCCATGAAATATGCGTTTATTAAAATATTTATGCATATCACTGGAAACAATATTAATAAATCATTAAAAGCAAATGTTATTTATAATATTGATTTTAGTATACCGGTTTATCACTCTTAAGAAAGCTGAAATAAAATAGATTTTAAGCTATATACATATACTATTATGTTTCAGTTCGGGTAAGAATTAATTAAATTAATATTGTATTAATTACGACGTTGCATTAAAAGTAGATTATGTTGTAGTGAAACATTTTAAATGGAAAATCACCTTTATAATATAGAATAATATGCAAATTAATTTAATAAGATTGGAGAAGATTCTTATTTCCTTGATTATAAAGTTCAAGGTTGTTATTAAAATCAAATTTATTCATGAATTTTATGAAATTTAATGCAAATTACTTTTTCTTTATATAATTTAATGGCATTATTGGTTATTGCTTTTTTAAAAAATTTTCAAATATTAAAAAATTTCAATTTTTCATTTCGATTTGTTAAGATCACTAACGAAGATTCCTTAGTTTCATACATGAGAAATAGTTGTTAAAGTAGAATTGTTGAAATAAGTTTCTCAATAATTAATTGGTTACATGCAAATATTTTTGCTTTTCCAAAGATTTTATGTAAAAATGACAGCAATCTTTCATATTTTTAATTTTGTTACAAAATGTAACGTCTTTGTTAAAGAATTTCTTTTTCATTTTCTGAGACACTCAGCATTATATCCATTATTCGTTATATAGTAATAAATTCAATTATTTTCAAAAAATATGCAAAACTTCTTTATTTTTCTCATATAATCTTAACGATAAAATTTTGGTTTTAGCTTCTGCAGTCTCTAAAAACTTAATTTTGTTAATGTTTGGAATAAAAATCAAATATTTAGATGAAAGATTGTGTAATTCAATTCAAAATTCAATTGAAATTTTTATAGTATAAATATAATGAGACAAAAAAATTGTTGATATTAAATTACGTAAATTTATCAAAAAACCATTAATGGTAAATGAGATATTGCTCTTTGTTCAACAATCAAAAACTAGAAAATTGTTAAATGTAAATGATGAAAAATTTCCAAAAATCATTTATAATTCTTTAAAACTAAATTAACATTTAGATTAAATTAACAATGAGAACCCAGATTATGTATAATTCTAATAATTGCCCTTTACAACGTAAATAAACTATATAAATCTATTGCCTTTTATAACAAATCAATTAGAAGTAATAAGAACATTTAGCACGTTTAATTTAGTTTGCAAAATTTTATGAATGAATTTAAATATTATTTTTTTCTTTAATATTTACATTTTAATTTAAATCATAATACAAGTATACTACGTAAATTTATTCGCTTCATTGTGAAAAATTTTAAACAAACATACGTAATAGGTTACAAATATTCTTTACATAATGTATATTTATGTACATGTATATGTACATATTGTGTAATAATTAATTTCCTATTATTAACAATTTAATTATCTCCCATCATTTTATAGCACGCCGAGCAAAAAAAGAAAAAGAATATTACAAAATTATTTATCACCTCATCACCGGACACCGTCAACGACACTCTGCTCTTATGTACATTTTAAATGGATTTAAATACATATTTACAAAATCAATTTACACATAATGTAATATTTCATATTAATAAAGGCTGTTAGTAAATAAGTGTACGTTAAAAAAAAAAGAAGGCAGATTTATTTAATTAATTTAATAATTTAGAAAAAAAATATAATGCTGATTTTTATCAAAAATCATAGATGTAGTTTTTTGTTCGTTAGTCCTTCATATTAACTGAAAATAATTGGTTTATATGTTAACTTTTTATGTGCACATTGTATGTATATTAAGTTAGTACTTTAAAATATGATCTTGAAAATTACATGCATATAAAATAATCAAAACATTTAGTCTATTTCTTTTCAATTTTAAAATGCTGTATTTGAACAGTAAATATTAATATTTTCAAGCGCGATTACACTAATTTTTACTTCAAAATTAAAATTAAATTGATATACTTGAAATTGTTAAAGACTAAAAGTTGGTACTGTATAACAGTCTATTATTATATACATTTTCTTACAAAAAGTAAAGGCGTCAATTTAAAAATTAACATTTTTGTTTTTGTTTTCAATGTATGAACTATAAAAGTATATTTACTGCAATTAATATAGTAGTTAGGGTGATTATATGCTTGAAATGCTGTATACTCTTAAGTAAAAAGCATTTACTCATATTTTATTATTCACGTACATATACGCCGCGTAAACAATCAAAATTCAAATGCATTCTATACTTACTTATATTTTTATCAATATTGTGAAATTTGACGTTATGCAAGTTTAAATGATCTTAAATCACTATAACATTTTTATCTTTTCT